CACACACACACACACACACACATATATATATATATATATATATATATATATATATATATATATATATATAACAAGTGGACACCAATTTCAAAAATGCATAGAAGTCCAAAAAAAGCTTCTTTTCTTTTTGTTATATACATTCAACACACTTCTAACAATGTGTGCTCATATGTTCAGCGCCCTATCAAGCTGCTGTTCCTTAGAGCAATCATAGTTGAAGGTAGAAATAATTTAAATAAGCCATTTTTTACAGCTGTGCAAGTTAAAGCATATAAACGTTGAATATATCAGACCCTTCTGAGAAAAGTTTCTGAATAAAAAAATCCACACTTGACATTTATGAATGATGTAAAAATGTCCTGAATTATTAAAACACTGTAAACATCATGCTCAAAGAAGGCCAGGAGGAGTATGATCCTCTAAGGTTTATGAATAGTGCAGCAGCATCAGTTCATTTAAATCAGGGGACCATTATGAAACATTTTTCATTAACGAGGCAACATTTGTGAGGCTGAGAGCAGGAAAGTACGTTCTCTGCTTGTTTCACTGTATTTTATTAATCTGGTCTAACTAACAAGCACAGTAAAACAATGATAGATATGGGGTGAAAATGCGATTTTTATCAGTTACAGCAGTGAATTTTAATTTATTAAGCACAAATTATGCAGTTATTTTTGGCACAGAATATCACTTTTCCATGTTGCATTAAAAGATTAAACTGTATTAATTGCTGGAGTTTATTTAAAAGAAAGCAGAGCTATGACATTTCTGCCAACCAAAGAAACTTTTCTGCTTGTAACTGGGGGGCCCACATCTGGAGGTCACCAACTGGGGGCCCACATCTGGAGGTCACCAACTAGGGGCCCACATCTGGAGGTCACCAACTGCCTAACATAAAAGGCACCAAAAGTGTTCACCCCATTGATATATTTTTTTTCTATTTTGTTGCCTTACAATCTTTTAAATGACTTAAGACAATGTGTTTATATGCAAAAGACCACCAAATACTCAAGCTAGATAAAGTGAAATTATGAAAAATAAACTTAATTTAAATAATTCTAAAATTTTAAAACTTGTTACTGTATCTCTAAGTCCCTTCAGGTTTGTCTTCATGATCCTGGTCCATCTAGTTACTGTAATTTTTGTCCATCCTTCATAATTTTCAACGACTTAAAACAAGAAACGGAGCCAAGTGAGGTCAGACTCAGTTTTTGAAGCAGATTCCAGTCAGACGGAGCAGCAGAGCCAAAGTTAGACTTGGTCTTTAGAGTTGCTAACCACAAATACTGAGAGGATCGGGTGTTGTACTTCGAACCTGGTGCTAGCTGCAGTAGCTGAGTTAAATATGGAGGTGCATAACCCAGCCATGTCTTATAAATGAGGGTAAACCAATGAATACCATGATGTGTATGTTGAGAAGGTCGTTTAACAAGAGAGAAGAGACACTGACGTGTTCTATAAGGAGCATTTGTAACAAAAGTCAATAGCAGAGTGATAAATTGTGTCCAGCGTACAAAGAACACCCTTACAAGCATGTCTGTAAATCATATCTCCATAATCCCACACAGGTAGAATGTTTTTTTTAAACAATGGTGCATGTTGCAGCCAAAAAACATTACTAAGCAAGAAAACATTTGCAAGTATCTTTAAAAATTAAGATCAATTTCTATATAGATAACCACGTCTCACTTTAATCTTAGATTGCAAAACATTAACATGATGTGAAAAGGACAGAGCACCATCAATCCAAATTACC